AGAAGACTGGTGAACGAGGAAAGGAATAAGGAAGCGGAAATCTAATCCTGCGTGGGGATTTTCCCACCTGCCACTCTCTCGACTCTTCACCAGAGCCTGCAGAAGTGAGTGACAGAAGAAAGGGACAGGAAGAGGAGGCTGAGAGAGCAGTAAGAGTCTGCCCCTCACCAGTCCATCTCATCAGCTGGAAAACCCGGAACAACGGGCCGTTCTATTCTGCCGAGGGTCTGTGTCCGTTCATTCCACAAATATTTACCGAGCACCTGCTATGGGCCAGGCATTGTTCTAGGTGCTGGGAAAACAGCAATGAAGTAAATATGGTGCTCACATTTTGGGGGGGTTGGGGGCTAGGTGGCTATACATAGTATGTCAGGTAATAACATGTGTTATGAAAAAAGGAAAGCAGCATAAGTGGGATAGAGGGGGATGGGGTGTGGTAGGGAGGGCTGTTTCACACAGGTTGCTCAGGAAGGCCTCTCTGATAAGAGGACTTTTGAGCAGACACCTAAAGGAAGCAAGAGAGGAAGCCGGTGTCTATCTGGAGCAAGAACTTTCAGGCCAAAGGAACAGCAAGTGTGAAGGCCATGAGGCTGGCCTGTGTTGGGTGTGTTAGAGGGATCACGAGGGGGCCGGCGTGGCTGGAGCAGAGGGAGGGAAGACAAAGTGGTTACAAAGGAAATCAGAGGGGTGACAGGGAACTGGGTCCCTTAGCACTTGGCAAGACAGGGTAAGGACTTGGGATTTTTACTCTGAGTGTGGTGGGCATTCCTGGCAGGTTGGAAAAATAGAGGAGGGACATGATCTGACTGAGGTTTCAACAGGATCCTCATGGCGGCTGGGTGGAGAATTGACTGTAGAGGGGACATGGATGGCATCTGGATAGCAGTCTGGAGCTGCTACTGCCAGGGTGGTGGCAGCAGAGGTGATGAGAAGTGGTGGTATCTGGGTCTATATTGAAGGTGGGGCTGATAGGTTTGTTGAGGGGTTGGATACAGGCTGAGAGAAAGAGAGGACCCAAGGATGACTGCTGGGTCTTTTTTTTTTTTTTATAAAGATGACCGGTAAGGGCCGAGCCCGTGGTGCACTCGGGAGAGTGTGGCGCTGGGAGCGCAGCAGCGCTCCCGCCGCGGGTTCAGATCCTATATGGGGATGACCAGTTCGCTCACAGCGCTCACTGGCTGAGCATGGTGCGGCCGGTCTCAAAAAGGACAAAAAAAAAAAAAAAAAAAAAAAAGATGGCCGGTAAGAGGATCTTAACCCTTTTTTTTTTTAAAAAAAAAAAAAAAAAGATGACCGGTAAGGGGATCTTAACCCTTAACTTGGTGTTGTCAGCACCACGCTCAGCCAGTGAGCGAACCGGCCATCCCTATATGGGATCCGAACCCGGGGCCTTGGTGTTATCAGCACCGCACTCTCCCGAGTGAGACACGGGCCGGCCCGAGGATCTTAACCCTTGACTTGGTGTTGTCAGCACCACGCTCAGCCAGTGAGCGAACCGGCCATCCCTATATGGGATCCGAACCCGGGGCCTTGGTGTTATCAGCACCGCACTCTCCCGAGTGAGACACGGGCCGGCCCGAGGATCTTAACCCTTGACTTGGTGTTGTCAGCACCACGCTCAGCCAGTGAGCGAACCGGCCATCCCTATATGGGATCCGAACCCGGGGCCTTGGTGTTATCAGCACCGCACTCTCCCGAGTGAGACACGGGCCGGCCCGAGGATCTTAACCCTTGACTTGGTGTTGTCAGCACCACGCTCAGCCAGTGAGCGAACCGGCCATCCCTATATGGGATCCGAACCCGGGGCCTTGGTGTTATCAGCACCGCACTCTCCCGAGTGAGACACGGGCCGGCCCGAGGATCTTAACCCTTGACTTGGTGTTGTCAGCACCACGCTCTCCCAAGTGAGCTAACTGGCCATCCCTACATAGGGATATGAACCTGTGGCCTTGGTGTTATCAATACCACAGTCTCCCAAGTGAGCCATGGGCCGGCCCCCTGCTGGGTCTTTGACCTGAGCAACTACAAGGGTGGAGGCAGGAAAGACTGGGGGTTAGGGCAGGTTTATAGCAGAAAAGCAGGGATGTGGATTGGAACACTTTTTTGTTTTTTGTTGGCTTGCTGGTACTGGGATCTGAACCCTTGACCTTGGTGTTATAACACTGTGCTCTAACCAAGTGACCTAACCAACCAGCCCTAGACACATTTTGAGACGACTGCTAGGCATTGACTTGTAAAGAAGTGACATGCATTATCTATTGCTGCATAGTAAATTATCCCAAAACTCAGCAGCTTAAGACAATACATATTTATTATGTCATTGTTTCTTTTGGCCAGGAATCTAGGCGCAGTTTGCATGGGTCCTCTGTTTTAGGGTCTCTCACCTGCAGTCGAGGGGTTGGCTGGGACTGCAGTCACCTCAAAACTTGCCTGGGGGAGGATCTGCTTCCAAGCTCACTCAAGCGCTGTTGATCGGATTCAGTTCGTCATGGGCTATTGGCTGGCAATGTCAGTTCTTGCTGTGTAGGCCTCTCCATCGGGATACTCCCAACATGGCAGAGGGCCTCCCTCCCTAGAGCAAGCAAGCAACACTGAGGCCATCATATTTTGTAACCTTGTCTTGGAAGTGACACCTTATCCCTTTTGCTATGTTCTGTTTGTTAGAAGAGGATGACTAGGTCCAGCCCACATTCAAGGGGAGGTGACGAGTGTGAATATCAGCTGGCAGAGATCTTTGGGAACCATGTTAGAGTCCATCTACCACACCCAGGAAGCAAATGGATAAGTGAATCTACAGTTCGGGGGAGAGGTCCAGGCTGCAGATTTAAATGGGGCTTGCCAGTGATGGGCCTGGATCAGGTAAGCTGGGAGCCAGTGAGACAGAGAAGGAAGCAGGAGCAAGGACTGAACCTGGGAGCACTTGAGTGTTTGGAGGTCAGGCAGATGAGGAGGGGCCAGAGAGGTAGGTGGGGAGGGGAGAGAGCGGTGATCCTGTTGGTGGGAGAGGGGGGATCAGCAGGTCAAAAGCCACTGATAGAACAGATAAGCAAAGGTGGAAAACTGACCACTGGATGGGGCAGTGCAGAGATCGCCTTGACGAGAGCAGTCTCAGTGGAGTGATGGGGGTGAAGACTTGACTGGAGGAGTTCTAGAGAGAATGGGAGGCCAGAAGCAGCGGCAGAGACAAACAACGCTTTTGAATCTTGATGTAGAGGGGAGCACAGCCTTGCTTCCAACTGTCTTTTAAACTTGCCCACATCAGGTAACACTCAGTTGAGGTGATTCATGGAACTCTGTTCTCCCTACACTTTTTCAACATAGTCTCCAGTCCCCAGTCCCGACTTGGACAGGGGACCAGAACTCAGAAGTCTGCCCATATTTTTTTTTTTTTCTGTGTTTCTTGTACCAAGTTACAACCAGACAAGGCACGCCTTCTGAGACTGGGGTAGGGACACACACTATTAGCTCCCTGTCATCAGTTTGGATCCCCCTGAATCCCAAATCACCTACCCTTAGAGGATCTGGCTTAGAAGGCAGAGCTAAGCAAAAGCTTGTTACTGACTGCCACCTTGTGGCCATTTTTTGGAACTGGCCTAGGTCCACATCTACCCCTCACCAGGTGGTGGGAAGAGGTGAGTGAATTGTTAGCAGCACCTGGCATCTGTGTCAATAAAAATGATCTACGGTCATTATGCTCATAATTTGGAGGAGTGTGGTCAAAACAGTGTTCCTTGACTTTACTGCCAACATTTTTTGAGGAAAATGTTTTTGAGGTCCCTCCTTTTTGTCTTAGTAAAAGTAAGAGTGTTTCAGGGAGCCATGTAAGACTTTCACATATGAAGTCAGATGATCCAGTCCTGCTCTTGCTATTACGTGTATTTGTTCACATCACTCAAGCCCCCTGAGTCTCAGCTTCGTCAAACTATAAAACGGGAGCATTAGGATTAAAACTGCACAAGGTGGTGAATGTAAATAAATCTCAGTAAAACGTGCTCTCCATGAGTTAACAGTAGTGGCCTACCAGCTCCACACTGAGGATGTGCTGCTTTAAAATAGTGGTTCTCAACTGGGGGCGATTTTGCCCCCTAGGAGACACTTGGCAATGTCTGGAGATATTTTTGGTTAACACCACAGGAGGAGATGGGAGGATGCTGCTGGCATCTAATGGGTAGAGGCCACGTATGCTGCTAAATATTCTACAATGGACAGGACAGCCCCCCACAAGACAGAATTACCCATCCAGAATGTCAGTAGTGCTTAAGTTGAGAAATCCTTGAGCTTTCTTAAATGAAGATTCTTCTTGCCATGTTATTATGAATCAACACAAGGAATTGTTTTCTGAAAAATAAGAGGAAGGGAGAGTGATGCATGAAGCTGGAGAGGGGTCCTTTCTATGGTAACATGCTGGAGTAAGTGAGTCTCCAGAACATCATGCTCTCCAATATGGTAGCCGCGAGGCAGCCACAGGTAGCTATTGAAGTTGAAAATGATTAAAATTGAATAAAATTTAAAATTTAGTTACTGGGTTGTAATAGCCACAATGCAAGTGCTCAACAGCCACATGTGGCTAGTGGACAGCACACATATAGAACACTTGCATCAGCACAGTAAGTTTTATCGGCCAGCACTGCTCCAAAAGGACTCAGCAGAACCAGGCATCTGTGGGGTAATCCACAGAGAAAAATTAGAAACTATGGAAGTGCAGAGAGGAGGGGACTATGAGAAACAAAAACATATACCAATGACATGGTCAAGGAAGCACAAAGGCAGTATATCATTAACTGTTAAAACAAATCTCTCTCTCACACTCGCTCACACAGTAATTGATCTATGCCACCCTCCCTTGCCCAAGAATCACTCCTCAGTTCATAAAACTCAAAAACCCTGAAAAGGCAAGAAGTGTCCAGAGAAGGCAGGCAGGAAAAGGAAGGTTCCATTGACGAGGAGGGCCGTCCCTCCCTCCATCGCTCCCTCCTTCTCTTTCTCACTCTTCTTCCTGTTCAGCTGAACTTGCGGTACAACGTTCCCAGCCCAACAGGTGGCCACGAGTCCATTGTACTGATGGAGGAATGTCTGTGGTGGCCTATCTGGCCTGCAGGATACTGCTTGGGGTCCTTGTAAAGGGAATGCGCATGCTTGATGATGAAGGGCAGACAGCAAAAGTGTAGGAGCATTCGTGAGATTTGGAAGATCAAGTGCAAGTATCTCATCTCCTTGAACTGCTCTTTGATGGCCCCATTGGTAAGCACGACCATGGAGAAGCTGATGAGCTCATAGGTGATGATCCACATGGCATAGATCGGCAGCCCTGTGTAGATTCTCTTGTGAATGCAATAAACGAGGAAGCAGCTGACTATGATGGTGGTGATGGATAGGCCAACGCTGATGGCCTGCCTGTGGGTCATTATCCAAGAGACTGCCTTGGACTTTGTGTTCAGATATATGGTGAACATGTCCTCATAGCCAAAGTATGTAACCTGGTTGAGTTCAAAGATGAAGAACTGGATGGTGTTGAGGACAGAGAAGATGCCCACCATGAAGGAGAACATCTTGGCATTCATTTTGTACTTGTTTTACCAGAGCATCTCCTGCAGAAGAGAAATCATGGAGATGCATGACAAGAAGGCAGAGCTAGACCTAGGCAAATTCCCCAAGCCACTAGATGTAAATAGGGGAGCTAAGAGAAGTGATGGTATAGGGACAGGCAATAGGCTGGAAGTCAAGGGACATGGGGTCTGGTCCCTAACTCCCTCATTTCACATCATTGGGAAATGAGGGCATCACTGGCCTGGGTTCTCCTTAGGTAGTTTCTAATTCTGCTGTTCCAGAGCCAGCTTTGCTTTAAGGTGGCAAAAAGAGTGCTCCTGTTGGTGTAGATTTGTAGGAATTTGGAAGCTCTTGTATCTGGAATAATGATGGGGTGAGTTATGGGCTCCCCTTGCGGGAATTTGTTTCTCTGAAGTCAGAAAACTGTCACGGCTCCTCAAGGACCCTGACCCTTCCCCGGACCCTCCTTTCTTCCCTTCTAAGCCCTGAGAAATGGGATTTCCCTGCTTCGCTCCCTGGGCATGCCCCAGTCTTGTCCCAAGTCGAGTTTGGCCTGCAGGGAGTGGAATGGGGAAAGGCTTATGGATCTAAGACTCACTGTCTTTTCTGCCCAGGATAAGGATGCCTTTATGATAAGCTACGGCTGTGCAGATGAAGGCCCAGGAGGCAGGCCTCCAGAAGCCGAGGTCAGACCTGAACTCTAGAGGCTGGCTCCAGCTAGGGGGTGGAGACACCTAGAGCTTAAGCAAACCCTGCTGGAGGGAGTGTTTGTAACGGAGGGCCCAAGGTCAAGGTAGGCAAGCCCCCTGCACAAACATTCCACCACAACCTAGATCATCTTCTTACCACTCCCAGTACAGACTACTGAGCAAATCTCTCCTCTTCATGCAGCACGCTGGAGAGCTACCCCTGCGAGGGGCGAGGGTACAATCACACACAAGGGGAACATATGCCTATTTTCTGGCTGACGAGTTTTCCATGGGGGACAACCTGTTGGACCTGACCTGACTTCTCTCTGAGGTGACCAGGACAGGGTCAGAGCAGACAGGCTGCCATTGGTCTCCCTCAAGTGTTCTCCTCGCTCACTGGGTCAACCCCAAATGTGGTAAAATGGACATAACATAAAATCTACCATTTTAACTCTATTTATTTTTGGCGGCTGACCAGCATGGGGATCCAAACCCTTGACCTTTGTGTTATAAGGCTGTGCTCTAAGCAACTGAGCATGCCCCATTTTAATCCTTCTTGAATGTACAATTCGGTGGCATTAAGTACATTCACATCATTGTGCAACCATCACCATCTCCGGAACTTATCACCCCAACAGAACTCTGTTTAACTCTCCATTAAACGCTAACTTCCCATTCCCCACCTCCCCCAGCCCCTGTTAATCACCATTTTATCTTCTGTCTCTATGAATTTGACTGTCTTAGGTGCTATAGACTGGATGCCCCCCCACTTCATTGAAGCTTAAATCCCCACTGTGACTGTTGAGGGTGGGAAATCCTATTATGGTAATTGAAAGGTGGGGCCTGGAAGAGGTGATTGGATTGTAAGACCAGGCCTTAGTGAATGGATTATAGATGGTGCCTGGGGGTGTGTTTCTGGGGGCTTTAAAAGGAGAGCACATGAGAGGTTAGTCTCTCTCCGCTCTGCCATTTTCTGCCATGTGAGTCCCCTGCATTGCTGTAAAGTCACCACCAAAGAAAACCCTTACCAGGTGTGTTTCCTGGACGTTGAACTTCCCAGTCTCTGAAACTGTAAGCAATAAATTTCATTTTCTTTATAAATCACTGAGTTTTAGGTATTTATGCTGTAAACAACAGAAACAGACTAATACACTGGGGAAATCACATAAGTGGAATCACACAATACTTGTCCTTTTTATATCTGGCTTATTTCACTTAGCATAATGTTTTCAAATTTCTTCCCAAATATTCTTACACTTTATTCTCATCCTCCTCCCAATCCTGTGTGACTCCAGATATACACACCTCTCACTGCATCCCAGGCCTGGAGGGCGCAGGTGGGGTGGGGTAGGCAGTGCGTTGGCCAGTGGATAGCTGCATTGATATTTCCTCATCCCCACCAACCAAACCTCACTTCTGCCCTGGTCAAAAGCAGCTTCCAGAACAATGCTACTCATGACTGCTCACCTGAACTGTCTAAAAATAGGGCCCAAATCACACAGTTTTATTATTTTGCTTTATGCCTATGTTGCAGGTTTAAAGGCAATGCCTTTTTAAATCTCATTGTTTCCACATCTCTGCTGCCCTCAGCACCTCCCTCCTGGGTGTCTGTAACAACTGCCTAACTTCTCTTTCTGCCTCCTGCCAAGTTCCACTGGTACATTCTACTCATTCAACATTCACTCAGCAAACATCTATTGAGTATCTGCCATGTGCCAGGAGCTGAGCTTGGCACTGGAGATACACAGGTAAATGTTCCAGTGTGGAAACTAGACAAACAAAAAAATGAATAAAGTGATTTTTAAAAATCAAGAAAAAGGAAAAGAAAATTTACACTGCAATGTAATAAATGCTGTGGAAGAAGAGGTGGTCCAGTGTTGTCAAGATGTAACAACAAGAAGGAGGCCGGCCCGTGGCTCACTCGGTAGAGTGCGGTGCTGATAACACCAAGGCCACGGGTTCGGATCCTATATATGGATGGCCGGTTTGCTCACTGGCTGAGCGTGGTGCTGACAACACCAAGCCAAGGGTTGAGATCCCCTTACCGGTCATCTTTTAAAAAAAAAAAAACAACAACAAGAAGGATCTATTCCAGGATGAGAACCAGGGAGACGTTCTGGAGCAGGCAATGGCTGAGCTTCTGTCTTAAAGATCATGGGTAATACCTGAGCAGAAAAGGGATGGACTTCACCCCGAACAAAGTGGATAACACCCAGGTAGGCACAGGTACAGACAAAAGCCATTTTGGAAATCACCAGTTTGGTGTGGCTTCAGCAGAGGGGGAGGATACACAGGTTGGCAGGGGCCAGATCAGGAAGGATCCTTGCCTGCCACCAGCTGTGTGAATGTTTCTCTGGAAGGCAATGGGGAGGCCTGGAAGGGCCTTAAGGATGTGTGTGTGTGTATGCGTGTGTGTGTGTGTGTGTGTGTGATCTGATTCGCATTTTAGAAAAATCTTCCTTGCACCTGTGGGGGCCACGGATCAGAAAGGGGGCGAGAGTGGGGGTAGGCAGAGCAGTTGAGAGGATGTTGAAGGAAAGAGAGTGAGGCAAGGCATCAGTGGGATGCTGGGGAACAGATTTGGGCACTGGGCTGTGGGAGAAGGAGTCTGGGATGAGCATCTGGGTGGAGGGTGGCCCATTAACTAAGGTGCGGAACACAGTGGGGATGGGGAAGACAGTGATGAGAACAGTTTGGCAAATGGTGGGTGCTATGGTTTGAATGTTTATGTCCCTTCCAAAATTTGTGTTGAGTCTAATCCCCAATGTAACAGCATTAAGAGTGGGATCTTTAAGAGGTGATTAAGTCATGAGGGCCGAGCCCTCATGAATGGGATTAGCAACATTATAAAGGGGCTGGAGGGAACTAGCTAGGCCTCTTTGCCTTTATGTCCCTCCCACCATGTGAGGACACAGCATTCATCCCCTCTGGAGGATGCAGCAATAAGACACCATTTTGCAAGCAGAGAGACTCAGCCCTTACCAAACACTGAACCTGCTGGCACCTTGATCTTGGACTTCTAGCCTCCAGAACTACAACAAAATTAATTTCGTTTTAAAATTTTATTTATTTATTTATTTATTTATTTATTTATTTATTTATTTTTTTTATTTTTTTTCTTTGTCGCACTTTTTAAAACCCTTTTTTTGACTTCTTTTGATGGTTTTTTTATTGAAACATAATTGATTATATATATTTGTGGGGTACAGAATTGAATATCGATACATGTGTACAATATGTGGTGATCAAATTAGGAAATTAGTATACTCATATTTTATTTTTTTTCTTTGTCGCACTTTTTAAAACCCTTTTTTTGACTTCTTTTGATGGTTTTTTTATTGAAACATAATTGATTATATATATTTGTGGGGTACAGAATTGAATATCGATACATGTGTACAATATGTGGTGATCAAATTAGGAAATTAGTATACTCATATTTACAAAATGTAATCAATCTTTGTGACCCTTATCTAATTTCTCGCTAACCCATTTCTCCTCCCCTTCCCCCACCTCTAATAACCACAGTTCTGTTTTTTTTTTTTAATCAGAATAAATTTCAGTTCTTTACAAATTACTCAGTTTATGGTATTTCGTTAAAGCAGCACTAATAGACTAAGACAGTGGGTTTCAGTTTCCCCTGGGACATCCAAGTGCACATGTATACTATGAAGTCACCTCCATCCACCTGGAACTCAGAGAGAATCTGAGCCTTTGTTCTTGAAGTCTAGCTCTGCTGAACATAGGATACTTGGTTGACAATTGCTTTCTTCAAGCACTTTGAATACATTATCCTACTGCCTTCTAGCCTCCACTGTTTCTGCTGAGAAATCATCTGTTAATCTTATTTGGGTTCCCTTATAAGTGATGAGTCATTTTTTTCTTGCTGCTTTCAATATTTTCTCTCTCTCTTACTATTTTGTTGTTGTTGTTGTTGTTGGGGGCAGGGGATGGCTGGCTGGTACAGGGATCAGAAACCTTGACCTTGGTGTTATCAGCACCAAGTTCTAACCAATTGAGCTAACCAGCCAGTCCCAGCCTTCATTTCAGTTATTATACTTTTCAATTCCAGAACTTCTATTCATTTTTTAAAATAATTTCTGTTTATTGATATTCTCTATTTGATCTAATATTATCATATTTTCCTTTACTTCTTTAATCATGGTTTCTTTTATTTCTTTAAAATTTCATAATGGATACTTTGAAATCTTTTTATGTTAAACCTGACATCTTGTCATTCTCACAGTTTCTGTTGCCTGTTTTTTTTCTGGCATATGGGTCATACTTTTCTGTTCTTTTGTGTGTCTTGTAATTTTTGTTGTTGT